TCGCACGACGGCAGAATTTATAGGAATGCCCTAGCATGCCACAAAAATAGCAATACGTATGTAATCGTTCATACTTGAATGTGACCCAGCAATTCGTTTTGTCCCGCTTAATAAAATTCATACGTCTTTTCAAGGGCTTATCAACAGATAGCGAAACCCTAATACGATGAAATACCTTCCATGGAGCACTGTCAAAACGATCATCACTCTTTAAAAACTTTCCCATGAAGTTCCCAATCTGCTCTAATATTGGACCGGACAAGTAACCTTTCGGTAATCCATACAGCTGTACCCATAAATCCACCGAATCCAACACCACATCCGCCGGCATCACTCCCTCGGGGACTTGCTTACACACAAGGGTGCTATTATCAAAGGACCAAGGCCCCTTGTTTAGAACCCGTTCCATGTCCGTTACGTGATGGAAGACGAACAGGAAACGGCCAGGCTCTACCTCTGTTGCCTCAAATCCACTCACCGGTTGCCACACCGACGCCATAACCTGACTCATGAACTCGAGCCTGACTAGCTTCCGTGTCAAGAAGCGCCCTATAACTCCCCAGCTTTCCTCCTCGACAACCGGCGCCGCATCTTCCTCCTCCGGTTCCACCGACGGCATGAACGTCGTGGCCTCCTCCTCCAACACCATATCCGCCCACCTTGCGGCGAGCCCTGCAACTCCTGGCACTTCTGACGTTGACGCCATACTCGCCGATAACAAAACCAGTTAGTTCAACCGACCGGAAAACCCCGCGTGGAAGAAGTCGATGGATCGACGTGAAACCCTAGAAACCCTAGGTAGAGAGAGCTATTTTAGATACAACTTAAAAGGTTAGAGGTCAAATATTTGACATGCTAACTAAAGTCCAAGATTGGTTTCATGGCTCCAAAAGGTGTGGTCAATGGGGTCAATTTTTCTTTAAACACTTTTTTAAAAATTTTTGTTGAGCCCGTTGTAGATGGTATTCCTAGTTTGATTTACCTCTAGGTTGTATATATTTCTATTCACAAAAAAAAAATAAAAAAAATAAAATAAAAAAAAAAAGTAAAAATAAAAAATAAAAACAGTGCAATGCCACTTAGGCTAATATCTGCAATGGGCAAATTAAGAGAAGGAGTGTTATCTCACAAACCTCTTAGCTAGGCTACTAGCATTCACATTTCTCATACAAACAAACAGAAAAATATTGAGGCTAGGGAAAGAGATGGCTTGTGTTGCTTTAGCTTCTCTGATTGCAACAATCAAGCTTGAGTTTCTACAACCCTTCCCAAGGATCTCTCTTCATCATCAAGAACCAATAATCCATTCTTTCTTGCAAATGATTTCTTCTTTGCAAGCCTTTCTAAAGGAATCCAGGGGTGCTGCTGCAATCAAGGATTTGGAAATCGAAATCAGAGACTTTGCACTCAAAGCTGAAGACAACATCGAAATACGACTAAGCAACTTTGTGTTAGCCAAAGACAGAGAGGATGAGGAAAAAGCTTCCCGGCAAATCCATCAAGCCTTGCAAGAAGCAGCAGAAAGCGCATCAGAGTTGTTGAATATTATCGACAAGGTAAGCAATGAAGCAGATGATGAGGAGAACAAAATTCAACCATCAATTCATCATTGGCTAAAGCGTTCTTATTCGGAGTTTGAGAATGATAAATTTGATGGATCCTCACAGTGCTTTCCAGACCTTGTGGACGGAAAAATGGTGGGTCGTCACCGTGATCGTGAAGTGATAATCAACAATCTCATGCCAATGTTAAATCACTTCTTCTCCAGCTCCTACTTCGTACCCCCTTCAAATAAGAAGATAACTTTGGTCTTCATTGTTGGGATGATGGGCATTGGAAAAACTACTTTAGCTAAAAGTGTGTATGGAGATCGACAAGTTGAAGATTATTTTGATGTACGTGGGTGGATTACAATGCCTCAAGAATACAACAAGAGCCAAATGTTACGCCTCCTTCTTCGTTCAATTTTACCCGCAGTGGAAAACAAATTTGGAGAAGGAAGTGCTATTCCAGCTGATAAACTTGCAGAGCAGGTAAGGACACAATTGCGTGCCAAAAGGTTTCTAATTGTATTGGATAACATACACGACAGTCGAGCTTTGCATGATATCCAAAGGTGTGTCTGTTGCGGTGATCCTGGGAGTACCATACTACTAACCACTGGGAACTTCAATCTCAGATTCGACCCTATCTTCTATCACCATCAGTATACCAATTACATGACTTTGCTAGATCAAAACCAAAGTTGGGATCTATTTTGCAATAATATGGTTTCACTTAAAGGCCGGATGGCGCTTGAATTTGAGAAAATCAAGAGTCATATTGTAGAGATATGTGATGGACTACCATGGTCTATTGTTGCAGTTGCAAAACGTCTGGCTAAATGTCATGACATATTAAAGGAGTGGGAGAAGGTCAAAAAGGAAATGGAGTCACTGGGAATTCTAGATCACAAAGCTCTCACTTTCCATTACAATCAATTGTCCGAACATTTGAAAGTTTGCTTTTTATATTTTGGAGTCTTTCCAAAACGTAAAGAAATCCAAGTTAAAAAGCTTATTGGTTTGTGGATTGCTGAGGGATTTTTGGAGCCATTGGAGCATGAAGAGTTAGAAAATCAAGGTTATGTGTATTTACAAGAATTTATTGAAAGAAGTCTCCTCTTAATATGCAACCAAGGTCGTGATGGCAAAATTAAGACTTGTAGGATGCATAGTGCCTTACATACCTTTTGTGTTGGAGAAGCTCAAAAAGCAGGTATTTTTTGTGCAGTAAATACTTTGCAACATACTGCATTGCCATTAAGTGAGTTTGCAAATTCAAGTCGTTGGTTAAGTTTATACACACATAGTTTCGATTATTATGTGTTGTTTAGTACAAACAAACCTCGCTCCATTTTTTTCTTTGATGATGATCCTAAAACTTTTGTACCTTTCAAGCTGTTAAGAGTTTTGGCCTTTGTTCCATCTCCATTCCTCCAAAGAGTGTCAATGCATTCGAGGCATTTAATTTTTTTGAGATACTTATTTATAAGTCAGAGGTTTGAGGGGCTAGGTAATATAGTGTCAAATAACCCGAATTTGCACACACTTATTGTTTCCAGTGATGAACCACAAATTGGAGCTCCTACAATTCATTTGCCATCCACAATTTGGCAGTTACCACACTTGAGGCATCTTGAACTTGGCGATTTGTATACAATAGATGATCCTCCAAGCGTGGTTACAATGACAAATTTGCAAACATTATCTTGGGTGAGCCCAACTCATTGTGGAAGGGAAGTGTATTTCAATTTTCCAAGCATAAGAAAAGTGGAACTTTTTTATAAAAAAGACTTGGTGCCCACTCACATTGGTAGTTCTTCTAGCAATTCCATCACTTTGTATAATCTGGACTATTTGGAATGGCTTGAAAGGCTAACAATTTCAATTTCAATTGGCTGCATTGTAACCCTTCCCGAAAGGTTTATGTTTCCTTCACAATTGAAGAAGTTAAACTTGAGTGGGGCTAAACTTTCTCAAAGAGATTTAACGGCAATTGGAATGTTGCCGGAGCTTAGGGTGCTCAAGCTTGAAAATTCCTTATTGGGAAGAGTGTGGAAAGTAGCTAAAGGAGAATTTCGTAAATTAAGATTCTTGCTCATTGAGGATAAAAAACTCAAGCAATGGCAAAGCGATGAAACATACACTTTACTATGTCTTGAGCGTCTAGTCCTAAGATGTTGTTATTGTCTGGAACAAATCCCATTAAGCTTTGGTGGTCCCAAGTTGAAGCATATTGAGCTGGATGGGTGTAACCCTTCCATTGTTGCTTCTGCCAAGCAGCTCATTATTATCAAACATTTGTACGGTCAAGTTGAGGTTAGAAGCTAAAATGCCATTCATTCTTGATAATTAATTATTTAAATTCTATTCTTTAAAAAATCTGTTACTGTTATTTCTTTATATGATCTCAGTTTATTTTCTCCCTCCATTTTGCTTTTTCCTTTCTTAGCTCATAATCGACGGGGCTGTATTTTATAGACTATCCTCATTCATAAGATAAATGAAATTCATGCAATGGAACAGAAGTTTCAGGTTGGAATTTGCATTATTTTGATGATGGGATTGAGTTTTTTCATTGGAATATGTGTTTTATACGTTTGTATTGTATGTATTCAGTTTCTAAAAAAATTGTATAGTCCGTTGGAAACTTAGAAGCTGCTGTTAGTTTGCTACTTTCAACTCCTCAGAGAGCTCATATTTTTATGCAAAAGCATTACGTGCTCTTGCTCGTTCATCTGCAGTGTCAAAGTCCCTATTTGAACTTGCAGTGAAGGTACTTGCTTCTCTAACTGCGTCCTTTTATGCTAGACTTTATTTGGATAATTCATCTCAATATCTCATACTTCATCACTTCTTGCTATACTTGCGCAGGTGGTTGCTGAAAATATGGTTAGAACAGACAATTCATTATCTGTCACACATCTGCTTTGTGCAGTTGGGAGGTATCAAGAAGCTTGTTCTCAGGTACCATGCCCCCATTTGCTCATGTAACAGTACGAAGTTTTTTTGCTTTCGAGATTATGTTAAATTTGGAAGAAATCTTCTAAGTTTTGCTATTTCCCGATAGAGCATTCACTGTCAAGTGTCATCATTCTTTATGATTTGAACTTGGAAGCATGTTGATATTTCTCCTTACCCTTTCTTTAGACCTTTACATCCTGTCGTGTTCATGATTTCACATATTGGTGGCAACTGTTAAATTTCTTTCATTTTGGACATTTCAAGAGGTATTGGCAAGGTCCTCTGGTAAAAAGTGAGGACGAATCACAGCCGCCCATTAGAGTTCATCAATGGTTGAGGGTTTTAGAGAAAAAAAACACGGGTCAATTTTATAATTATTGCAAGTTTATTTACTTCTCTCAAGTTTGTATGAATGATTGAATGGACATTGAAGCTCTGAATTGCTACTATTATACCCACTATCTTAGAAATAAAAATATACCTATGTTATTAAAATAGGTCAACAAGTCAAAGGTTATTAAAATTGATATTGGATGAATTTACTAAATTACCCCTCTTTACCCTTAAAGGTTAAGGAACCACTTTGGTCTTGGATAAACATTTCATTTGAAAGAAGATAAGGGGAGCTAACTAGAGAGAGATAGGGGAAGGAAAAACCTTGGAGCTTTGATCTCCATCTTCTTCAAGCTTAGATCTCAAAGCTATTGGAGTATTCTAGGTAAGTTTGACATCTATATTTCACTCTTTAAGTTGGGTTTATCATTTGAGCCCTAAGATTAATGTTTGATAATATTAGGGATTTTGACAAAGAGTTTTTGGGCGAGCTTAATAGCTAAGATTTGGATGTTTTTAGGTAAGTGGTTAACTCTTCTCTCCTTATTTTGCAAATCCCATAACCTATTTTGGAATCTCTACTACTTTGAATACCCCTTTCTAGGGTTAGTATGAGTTAAAAGTATTTTGTGCTATGCTATGTGTTTGAGTTGTTAAACTTGTGTTTTGGGGTTTTATATTGAAGTTTTGAATTAGGTTTTTGGACTGGAAATATCTGTCAGAACTGTGTTTTAGAATTTTGTTTTTGCCCGGGAAATGTTGAGTATTGGACTGAAAATGTTTCTGGTTTGTAAGTGTGTATTTCTCTCAAAACTATTTTTACCCTATACTACAAATTAAACTTGTGATTTGAGTTGTATATTGAAATTTTGAGCTGCGTTTTTGGACTGGAATTGTTGTGAACTGTGTTTCCGGACAAGAATGGTTTACTTATATAATCTGGACTAGAATAGTCATCAAGTGTTGAGATGGTAGAATGGCTTGTGGTTGTTGTGTAAGTAGTAGTAGGTCGTGGGTTCCACTCTACTTGCTAGCATACCTTATGTTTATTTTTCTATATGTATTACATGCTTATAAAATGTATTATTTGTTTAAAGAGAGAATTGAACTCTTAACCTCATGCTTATATTAACTTAAGTTCTTCCAACTAAGCCATTTCAATTCCTTTGAAATTACTTTGGTTTAATAAACTATTCTATGATTTTTAAAGAGTTATGTACTAAGAAAATTATTATTTTGGGAATGGTTTATACCTTGCATATTTCCTAGTTTGATAAACTTATTATCTATTTTGGAAATATGTACTTAATTTGTTATGTGATTTCAAGGAAATGATTTTTGCTACATCGGGCTATTTGATTATAAGAACTATTTTGATTATTTCATCAAACTCATGAGGCAACCTACATTTTGTTGTTTGTTTTGTTTGGCTTGGAACGTTCCTAATTGCTCATTCCGAATCGTCGAGCTTGACTCATTCCGAATCATCGAGTCTTTTGAATTATTTGTTGGAACGTTCCATCCGGCTCATTCTGAATCGTCGAGCCTAACTCATTCCGAATCTTCGAGTCTTTTTGAACCATTATACCGATAATGGCATGTGCCACAGAATATAATGGTGGTTGTAGGTTGCCAATGAGTCATATGTTAAGGTATGGTTTGTGCTTTTGAAATTATTGTATTATGAAATATTGTTGATGCCCATGTAGCTAAAGTTTCTTGCTTTGTGAACTTGTGTATAGTATGATGAAAGTATATTATGACTTCGATATAGTTTAAAGATCGAGTTTTGCATCGAGTTATTACTCTATAGCTTTTTGTATTATTTTGGGGTTACTTGATCCGGGGTTGAGAGGAGTATCACTTACTGGGCATTAGCTCATTATTTGTATTTTATTTTCTCATGTTTCAGAGTAGTAAGGACATGTGAATAGCATGAGCACAAGTGGTGGGGTCTCGAAGGTGACTTTTGAAACTAAGAGACTTAGTCCTAGTGTTGGAGCTTATCACAAATGTTTGTTTCTTTTGGAAATTCCCTTTGACCCTTGTATTTTTGGTAACCCGTTGTGCTTGTGACGTATTTTGGATATACTACTCATGATTGTAAAAATTTGTGTGTGGATTTAATGAGCTTTTGGGAAGAACTAGTTGCTTATATTTTGTAATTTTGGGTTGTGGAATTGTTATGTATTTAAGTGTTGTTATGAAGGTTTCGAGAGATACGTGCGGTTAGGCTTCGTATTGTTACAAGTTTTCATGTAACGGTACGGTCGGGTCATGTCCTAGAAGTGGGGCGTGACAAGTTACCATCCTGTATTCAGGTGTGGCTAAACTACATGTAAACATATCTTAACAATCTATGCATAAATACCAAATGCATGCCAATTAGCTTGCATCTCTGTAGTTCTCTTACGTCACAAATTTAAATCCTAATAAAGAATTGTAATAAAGTTGTATAATGTGACACTTTACTTATTTTTCAAGATTCGTTTAATTATTTTTTTGAAACTTATATATTTTTGTTATATACAATAAGAATTCGTCAATCATAACCAACCAAAACATTGAATCAAAATTCAAAATATTCAAAAAGTTTGATTTTCATTATCAATTTTTTGATCGGTCCGTTTTTTTTTTTTTTTTTTTAATTTTTTCACCTCTAACAGGGCTGGGTATAAGGGCAAAATAATAAATAAAATTGAAAAATGTCTAGAAGATCTTGATTGGTTCGACAGAAAGGAGTAGAGACGAAAATGGATTGGTTCCATCCATTTTTATCTCTTTTTATTATTATTATTATTATTATTATTATTATTATTATTATTATTATTATTATTATTATTTCTTTTTATTATTATTAAGAATGGTAATTCTACCCGCACCCAATGTGTTTCCTGCATCCCCGCTCTTACAGGTTTTAAAATACTCGCACAATTTGAGTAATGAGTGCGAGTATGGACGGAGTTTGCGTGCGGGGAGGTATCCCGTCCCGCACCCACACCGGCACTTATATATATTGTTATTAATATTCATTTATTATATAAGTTTATGTATATTTTATAATAAAAAATGCATAATGAATTAAACTTCTTAATTTTTTTGCTAATGAAAATTAAATAGGAACAACACAAATAACATAATGAGTAAACACTTAATATAATTTATACTACCAACACAATTTTAGTTCCAATTATGGATTAACTTCATTGGCTCTTATTAAACTTTAGAGTTATGTTCAAACTTATAAAAAAAATTCATGTGATAATTATTGTAATATAAAATTTTCATTAGATTTAAGTGTAATATTAATAATTAAAGTTACGGATGGAGGTATTACCCACACCCACAAAATACCTGCGGGACAGGTATAGTGTAAGAATTTTATTACCCGCGCGGTAGCGGGGCAAGGATATATCCCCGCACCCACTCCGCCCATTGCCATCCCTAATCTATACTATATATAAAAACAAAATCCTGAAATTTTAACTTACCGCCCAATTCCTAAAAAATCTCTCTTCCAATAAAATATATTGATTTCTACTTTCCCATTCGTACAATAATTCTGCGTTAAAATTCTATTCTAATATTATAAAATAGTGTAATACAATTTATATCTATACTATATATAAAAACAAAATCCTGAAATTTTACCTTCCCGCTCAATTCCTAAAAAATATCTCTTCCTAATAAAATATATTGATTTCTACTTTCTCATTCGTACAAGAATTCTGCGTTAAAATTCTATTCTAAAATTATAAAATAGTGTAATACAATCTATACTATACATAAAAACAAAATCCGGAAATTTTAACTTCCCGCCCAATTCCTAAAAAATCCCTCTTTCTAATAAAATATATTGATTTCTACAATAATTTTGGGTTAAAATTTTATTGTAATATTATAAAATTGTGTAATACTATTCCTATTCTAATCTATATCTATTTTATATATCAGTGTTTCAAAAATCGTGTCGCTGGCCGCGGCGAGGAAGGCCGGAATCGACCGCCTCGCCCGCTGAACCGGCCTTTAATTTTTTTTTTTTTTTTTAAGTTGTAAAGTGTCAAAAGCTCGGCACGGCATAACTTTTGACTCCGTTGTCCGTTTTGGACAAATGTTTTTTTGAAATCGCGTATTTTTTCGAGACCTATCCACCGCAAACTACCGTAGGCGGTTTGGCCCACCAATTTCTAAAAAAAAAATACTTTATTAAAGAGTTTCTAAGAAAAAACTATGAGAACCTTATGTTTTATTAATGAATTTTTAAAATTTTTAATTAAACAATTGTCCCGTGCATTATTAAATAATCTTTCTTTATAATTGGTCAAATTATTTAATTATGATAAATTTGAGAATAATTAATGATGGTAATAGAAATCTTAGAAGAATATAGAATTGAACAATATTTAATTATTGTTATATTATTATTGTGACTCACGGAATACAAGAGTTAATGCCATTTTTGGTCTTATACTCATTGGGGCATTGACACTTTTCATCCTCCATAATAAAAATTGCCACTTAGTAGCCACTGTTATTGACCATGAATTAGAAGGGTTTTTCTGTCTTTTTATGTTCTAATCCTTGTATTTCTCCATCCATTGGTCACTGCTACATCAATTTTTTCAAACTGAGGTTATCCACTTCAGACCTTTCTAACATTAAGAAATCATCTTCACCCAACTAACAATCACGAATTTTACATTTGACATCAATCTCAAGATAATGGAAACAAGTGCAGTTGGAATAGAAAGGGCGTTAGTCCATGCCTGTGGAAATTTTATCGAGCATACAACATAACTAGCAAAGTCAGGAATATCACCCAACCCCTCCCTTAACCTTTCTGCATCAACTATAATAGGTATGCCCCTACTCTTTGCCTCCTGCACTACAATCAAAGCAGTCTCATGCAGCCTTCCATCTAAGTAGACAATATTTACTCCAAGCGCTGAAGACAATTTTGATTTGGGTATGTAGACCCTCAGATATCATGGGTGGATATCCTGGAGTGAAAATGCACGTGCGAGTTTTTTTTTTTTTTGGTTGTCAACAATGACATATGTGAATGTTGAGTTTCCTCCTTTGGACACCACCATAAAAGATGTATCAACATCATCCCTTTCAAGCTCATCAAGTATTCTTTCGCCATGCGAGTCATCAGCAACATTAGATATGATCCTTGGATTAAGACCAAGACGAATTTTATCATCCGGGTTTTATCAAAGCATTGCCAGTGTTACCACCTCCTTGAACCTCAAAACTGGTGCTCCGAATTCTATCATCCGGGTTGGGGAATGAAGCTACAGCAGCCAGGAAGTCAACACCGGCCATTCCAACACCTCAGACCTAGGACCAAAAATGTCTTTCCTCTAAATAAAATAAAAAAATTATAACTACTTTTATCTTACATATTAATTTGAGAATTAATAGAAAATTCTTACCAAGACCATGTGGTCTAATGGTACCCAAGTTGGACTTCCATTTAGAAGGCTGTGAGTTTGAGCCTCACTGTTGGTGTTATTGGCCACATTGTAATAGAGCTAATAGCATTCAAAAAAAAAAAAATCTTTATAATAATATAAAAAAAATTGTCAAAAGTTACTAACTTGTTGCCGTGCATAGCATGGTTAAAGAGTTTTTCTTTTAAAACAACCTTTTGGTACCACAACTATTGAATCATTTTCGCATTTGGTCTTCAATTATTTATTTTTAAATAATAGTAGTAATATTTGTTGATTTAAATGCTTTGGTTGATTGCCTATAGAGTCGTTTAAAACCTAAAAATTAAGTTTTTGCTGGCTTTGTTTAAATTTCAGTCTTTCTTTTACTAGCCAGCAAAAGGCTCTCTCTTTTACTCTCATCTTTTGCAATTGCATTTTCTCATACAAACAAACACACAAAAAGAGAGAGTGATGGCTTATGTTGCCTTAACTTCTCTGATGGCCACACTTGAGCTCCAGTTTCTGCAACCCATCCAAAGGCTGTCTCTTCATCATCATCAACCACCAATCAAATCTTTCTTTCAAAACCTTTCTTCTTTGCGAGAATTTCTAGACATATTCCAATTTCGTAGTGCACCCAGAGATTTGGAAACCAAAATCAGAGACTTTTCACTTGAGGCTGAAGACAACATTGAAACACAACTAAGCAACTTTCTTCTACTGTCCAAACACACAGCCCATCAAGAAGAAGCTTCCCAAATACTCTGTCGAATCTTGCAAGAAGCAGCACAAAACGCAGCAGAGTTGTTGAAGATTACCAATATAGAAAAAGATGGAGAGACACAGAGAAAGATAACTTGTGATGCTTTCACTTCTCTCATAAGGGAGATTCGGGTTGAATTTGTGGTCCAGCCTGCGCTTCATGTTCCAGCATCACTGATCGAATCTCTCATAGAAAACATTTCTTCTTTGCGAGAATTTGTAGAGATATCAAATTTTCACGGTGCTGCAATCAAAGATTTGGCAACCGAAATCAGAGACTTTGCATTCAAAGCAAAAGAGGATATGGAAAAACAATCATGGGAAGTTCGTTATTCCAGATTCACAGATAAACATAAAAAACTTTCCAACAAACTCCTCCAAACCTTGCAAGAAGTAGCAGAAAACACAGGAGAGCTATTGGACAGAATCAGCAACACATGCAACGAAGCCGATGAGGCCAATGAAACACAACAACCTATTCCTTGGTTAAAACATAATTCATCCCAGTCTGTGAATGTTAAGGGAGGAGATAATGGATCATCCTCGAGGTGCTCTCCAAGGCTTGAGGACAGAATGGTTGGTCGTCAAAATGATGTTACTACAATAAAGGATCAACTCTTCAGTGGCTTTGGGGGTCTAAAAGTAATCCCGATTATTGGGATGCTGGGCATAGGAAAGACTACTTTAGCTCGAAGAATTTTTGAAGATCAACTAGTTCAACTGCATTTCGATGTAAAAATCTGGTTTACTATGCCCCAGAAATACAATAAGATCCAAATACTACGCCACCTCCTTCAGTCAATCGCACTTGCAGAAAAACATGAAATTAAAGAGGGAAGAACTCTAGTAGAGATGATGCAGGAATGCTTGATAGACAGGAGGTATCTAATTGTTTTAGATGACATATGGAGCACTCAGCATTGGGATGATATCAAACATGTTTTTCCTCGTTATGTGGAAGGAAGTCGCATATTGCTGACCACTCGGTTCAATGAAGTGGCTGATTATGCTTGCACATTCAAAAGTAATCATCATGTTATGAGTTTACTAGATCCAAATGAAAGTTGGGAACTATTCTGTAATATCTTTCCGCTTGAAAGGTATAGGGCACCAAGATTTGAAAGCTTTAGGAGTCATATGTCCAATGTTGTGGAGAAATGTGAAGGACTGCCACAGGTAATTGTTACAGCCGCTGAGCGTTTATCTGAATGCAAAAACAACATACAACATGAATTGAAAAAAATGGAAAAAGAAATTGAGTTGTTGGGAATTCTAGATTATAGTGCACTCACGCTCATTTACAATCAGTTGCCAGAACATTTGAAAGTTTGCTTTTTATATCTTGGAATCTTCCCAAAGCGTAGTGAAATCGAAGTCAAAACGCTTCTTAGGTTATGGGTTGCAGAAGGATTTGTGAAGCCATCAAGGAATAAGGAGTTAGAAAAGATTGCTTATTGTTACTTAAACGTTGATAGAAGTCTTGTGTTAATAAGTAGTCGGACGTTTGATGGCAAAATTAAGACTTGTAGGGTGCACAGTGTCATGCATAATATTTGTTTTAGAGAGGCTCAGAAAGAGGGAATATTATGTGCAGTAAATACTCAGCAACTCCCAAGGTGCTCATTAAATGCATTCGCAAATTCGTGCCGTTGGTTTAGTTTATGCACCAAAAGAGGAAGTTCCTCGATGTCAATTTCATCGAAATGAAATGATGGGCACCCGACAGCGGGTTACCGGTCGCCGGAGCTGAGCCGCCGGCGGCGGCGGACGGCGTTCGCTCGGAAGAATGCGACGACATGGCTGGGCTAGGGAGGGGGTTTAGTGTTTGTGGTGGAGGATCGCTGGTTTGGCTGATACCAGATGAGAATTCAAGATTTCTGATTCAACGGAGAAAGATAGAATTACAAGAGTGTATATCTGAAACTACCTCTAACTGATCCTATCTAACAGGTTATTAACAATTGACTAATTCTAACCACATATAAACAACCATAGGTTAAAACATAAATAATAATAATACTAATATTACTCACAATGCAAACATAGTTTTGACTATTATGTGTTGTTTAGTTTAAACAACCCTCGCTCCGTTTTCTTCTTTCAAGACAATTCTGAAATTTTGGTACCGTTCAAGCTGTTAAGAGTTTTGGCATTCGTTCCATCTCCATTCCTCCAAAGAGTGCCAATGCAGTTAGGGGATTTAGTTTTTCTAAGATATTTATCTATAACACAATGGTTTGAAGGTCTCAACGATGTAGTGTCAACTAATCTGAATTTACAGACTCTTGTTGTTTGCGGAAGTGACAGTGAATCACAACTTGGAGTACCTACTCTCCATTTGCCATCAAAAATTTGGGAGTCACCACAATTAAGGCATCTTGAACTTGGTGCTTTGTGTACTGTTGATCCTCCCAGTGTGGTAAAGAAGAATTTGCAAACATTATCTTGGGTACGTCCAACTCATTGCAGAAAGAAAGTGTATTCCAATTTTCCAAACATAAAAAAACTAAAGATGTTCTGTAAAGAAGACTTAGAGCCCAGTACTCACATTGGTGGATCTTTCAGCAAACACATCATTTTGGATAACTTGGACTATTTAGCACGAATTAAGAGTCTAACGATTTCAGTTTCTTCTGTTGGGTGCATTGTAACATTTCCTGAACGGTGTATGTTTCCTGCGCAACTGAAGAAATTGAGTTTGAGTGGGACTAATCTTTCTGGGTGGGATTTAACTGTAATTGGCTCATTGAAACGTCTTGAGATGCTGAAGCTGGAAAATGCTTTCCATGAACAAGTGTGGAGAGTAGTTGAAGGAGGATTTTATGGATTAAAGTATTTGGTCCTTAAAGATAAAAAACTCAAGAGGTTGGAGGCTTGCACAGATGCTTTCCCATGTCTCGAATACCTAGTTCTAAGATGTTGTCATTATTTGGAAGAGATTCCAAGCAGTTTTGGAGAAATTTTCTTCTTCAAGTCAATTGAGTTGGATAGGTGCAGCCGCCCTTCCATTGTCACTTCTGCCAAGGATATTCAAGAGAAGCTAAATAAGAATTTTGGAAAAGAAAATTTTGAGGTTAGAAGCTCAATCTGGCTTGATCATTCTTTGTTATTAGATGTTGAACATTGCAAAATCTGTTACTACTTAATTTTTTTTTTTATTTTTTTATTTTTAACTTCATTTGCTTTCTGTAATTTGCATCATTTTTTCATAGATTAAAATTGATGAATGAGGGTATATAGTAGAGTGTGTAGAAGATGTTGGGGTTGGCAAAAATTCTGAGGTTAGAATTCATTCTTAATCTTCTTTTTTCTTTTTTTATTAATTTTTTTTTTTTAAATACACATGATTCTTTACAAGTTTGTTTTATACTTTCTCAAACATTTTCAGCCCAAAGAATCAAAGCCCCACCGCCGAGGTTCAAACTTATGACCATCAATTTGGAATGGTAACCGGGATGCCATCACACTAAATGGCAGTTAGCAAATACTCATTTGGTTTCTCTATTTTGCATTACTTTTTCATGCTTGGAAATGAAGGAGGCTGAATATGATGAATCAGGCAGCTGGGCACATAGTAGAGTCTGAAAAAGATGTTGGGGTTGGCAACCTCAAAAATATCAAGTATGCCACTGCCTGATCCAAATTGATTTACAAGCTAGCTAGGCAAAGTATATTTATGAAAACTCCTAATTCTCCATTTTTGGAGTCATATCCTGCAATGCCTCAAAGCATATATTAGATTTGACATTAATTTTCTTCTTATTAATTGCAGGTTTTCAGCCTGAAAATCTCTTATCACAGCTTCTTTTCCAAAGGTCTTATGATAAGATGGTAAATGGTTCTGAACTAGAAGCGATATGTTGTTAAGGAGATTGGTTTTCTTAACAAGATCAAGACCTAGCTAGCTGCTGTAAAATCTGGAAACCAAATGAACACAGTAGATTGTTTTAGCTGAGATTTCCATGTAAAAAGGGATGAAAGAAGAAAACTACCTGCCCTCCTTTTAAGGCAATGGCATGACTAGAATTGTAATTCTAGCTTCTTTCTTTAAAAAAAAAAAAAAAAAAAAAAAAGTCAAGCACATAATTCAAAAATTTTATTATTATAGTCAAGAAATCAAGATGAGAATTAATGGAGGTTTTGTTTTTTGGGTGATGAGAGAAACTCGTGAACCTGTAATCACTATTTGAGGATAAGCACTAGGTAAATCTTACTCTCATGTAATATCTTGCAAACCACACAAGAGAAGTACGAGGTAAACCACACTAGGAATACTCTGTGTAACGGGCTTAATCAAGAGAATATTGACAAAAATCGAACTTATGACCAGTTCTTTCATGACCTCATGGAGGTTTTATTTCCATGTAATATACATACTAATGCTCTAGATTCTGGAGTTACAGGATCAACGTGGGACTCTTAAGGAAATTGTTAAAAAGTTGTTAGCTAGTCTTTTAGTCTAAAAGTTATATTTTGAAATCTTTGATTGCCTTGCAAGATCATTTGATTGATTGGAAGAAGTTATTAAATGCATTTGTAAATTCATGCCGTGGTTTAGTGTATGCAAAGATAGTTTTGACTATTATGTGTTGTACTGTTGTTTAGTTCAAGCAATCTGTGTTCCATTTTCTTCTTTCAAGAAAATTTTGAAATTTTTGTACTCTTCAAGCTGTTAAGAGTGGCGTTGGTTCCATCTTCATTCCTCCAAAGAGTGCGGCTGATGCATTTAGAGGTTATTTGATACTTTCTCATCAATTAAATTCTCAGAAAAATTGTATTGGATAACCCTCAGGATAATCGACTTTAGAATGATATCCGAAGATGTTTTCCATACAGTAATTCTGGAAGTCGCATATTGCTTACTACTAGGCACTTCAATTTGAATTTCAAGGATTTTTGGACCATAGTGCTCTCATCTTCGATTACAATCAATTGTCGCAAGATTAAAAGTGTGCTTTCTATATCTTGGAGTCTTTTCAAAACGAACAAAAATCCTAGTTAAAAAGCTTATTGGACTACGGATTGCTAAGGGATTTTTGAAGCCATTGGAGCTTAAAAAGTTAGAAAATCAATGTTATGCATATTTACAAGAGCTTAGTGATAGAAGTCTTGTCCTACTATATATGCAAGTCGAGTTCTAACGGCAAAATTAAGAGTTGTAGGACGCTGGATGCATAGTGCCTTGCATAGCTTTTGTGTTGGAGAAGCTCAAAGAGATGGTATTTTCTATGCAGTAAATACTCTACAACATTTAGGATTGCCATTAAGTGAGATTGCAAAATCGAGTTGTTGGTTAAGTTTATGCAAGCATAGTTTTGACTATTATGTCTTGTTTAGTACTAACCTCACTTTGTTTTCTTCTTTAATGATAATCCTGAAACTCTTGTTCCTTTCAAGCTCTTAAGAGTTTTGGCCTTTGTTCCACCTCTATTCCTCCAAAGAGTCAATGCATTTAGGTGATTTAATATTTTGTGATAATAACTCGGCAATTAAACTATCCAAAAATCAACTTTTTCTATTATGACAATGGTTGTACAGGGACACTAACATGTAAAGGGGCTAAATCCAATTATATTAGCAGATATAAATATGTAGATACCAGTTTTCTAATTGCCCCACCCACCAAGTTGTCTTTTACAGACTCTTCCTATGAAAAAATATAATGGACAAAATGAAATGAGATTGGAAAAATTATTAGTAACAGATTTTGGAAAGAAAGTCGGTATCAAATAGAAAATAAATTAAAATTTAAGAATGAATCAAATAAGGCTCTACCTTCTAGTCTTATCTCATGTTGCTCTTCTCAAATCTGCTTGGAAGGGCCACTTTTGGGCTTGCGCATCTTTAACAGATTTCTCAATCTCTTTTTCTTTAATTTGTGGATGTACCAAACTCCAATTTCTTCCTCTACCATCTGCCCCCTGCTCATGATTCACCCTCCTCCATTTTTTATGTATGAAAATAATAACAGATTTTGCACACAAGTTCTATCAGCCATCTAAGAAACAAGAAAAAAGGAAATTAAGAATATAATGCAATGAGGCATAACTTCTAACCTCGGAATTTGCCTTTTCAACATCTTCTATATATTCAGGCCCCTGCCTTTGGATTTTAATCTATGCATCATCAGGTAATGCAAAATACAGAAAACAATAAATTATTAATAAGTAACACATTTTGCAAAGAAGTTCCTTCAGAATCTAATAAAAAAGAATGAACAAGGCAGAGCTTCCTTCTAACCTCAAAATTTTCTTTTCCAAAATTCTTCTTTAGCTTCTCTTGAATATCCCTAGCAGAAGCAACAATGGAAGGGCAGTGGCTAAACCTATCCATTTCAATTGACTTCAAGCACAAAATTGCTTGGGATCTCTTCCAAACCCTCACAACATCTTAGGACTAGATGCTCAAGACATGAGAAACCAACATATATGAATTGAAGATAAGTTAATGATCCCATCCCATCCTTCATTAACATCTAAACACTAAACCCGGCCAATTATATTTATTAATTAGCAGATATGTATCTCTGGGCATACAGGTTTTCTAAATCATGTTGCTCTTCTCAAATCTGCTTGGCAGAGCCACTTTTGGGCTTGCACCTCAACAATATCTGTTTTTCTTTATTTTGGGGATGTAGGACTTCAATTTGCCAACCCCAGCATCTTCTACACACTCTAACATGTGCCTGATTCATCATATTCACCCTTCGGCCTGGATTTTGATGTATGATCGAAAAAGTAACGCAAAATAGAGAAAAAAAAAAAAAAAGAGCTTAAGAAAAAATTACATCGTCACAGATTTTGCAAAGAAGTTAAGCTTCTAACCTCAAAATTTGTTTTTTCAAATTTGCAAACCCCAACATCTTCTACACACTCTACTATGTGCCCTATTCATCATATTCAGCCTCCTTCATTTTGATCTATGAAAACAAATGAGGTTACATAAATATTAAATAGTAACAGATTTGGGAAAGAAGTTTAGCATCTAATAAAAAAAATAAAAATTAAGAGTGAATGATTGAGCCATAGCTTCGAACCTCAGAATGTAAGTGTAAAAATGTTGCACATTTAACCCTTTTAATATTGGCCTAGATTAGTTGTCAAAATAGTTCTGGATTAGTTGCTGGATTAGTCATACTGTCTGGAGTAGTTGACTGGATCAGTGTATGAAAGTAATCCAGGAGGTATGAAGCTTCTTCAAGTCTTTTATTCAGTCAAGACCCTATAATGATGGAGATCTACATCAATTGGAGCAGCCTAAATCAAGGAAAGAAAGAGTGCTTGTTTTGTGGATCGAAAGATCCTTAATATACCTATATAAAATGCTACTTTGGTTAGCATTTTACACACACTCTTTCACATGATTTCACTCTGAAATTCCTTGGGTAATTACTCTGAATATATTCTGTATTGCTGAGTGTGAAGAAAGGTCCTTAATCAATTCGTGAAGCAATGAAGATCGCCTGCACATCGTATCCACTAGAGTAGGCTCTGAAGTAGTTATAGGTTATACTTTAGTGTGTAATTAACTCTCCTCTTGTACTCCTTTTTATCATAGTGAATTTGGGTTGATGTGAGTGGCCCCGCAGACGTAGGAGTGAGGCTCCGAACTGCGTGAACATTTTCTGGTGCATGCTTTCTTTTACTGCTATCTATTTTATGTTCTTTATTATATCTGGAATGAGGTTGCATCTAGTCCAGCTTTATAATTGAAATAAAATTAATTTCTTAAGCTAAATCTTGCATTCAAGACTCACGTGCTTTTTCAATTGGTATCAGAGCTCGGGGACTTAAATTACTAGTCTAACCAATCTGGCTATCACGTTTTTTTTAACTCAAGATCTCTGTATCTGTTTTTAATTCTGCTTGTCTGGTTTATTAGTTGCTCACTGTGCATTGAGTCTTACAGCATGGAACGACATAGAGCACCTCCTGAGCTAACAGGTGACAACTATGCGTACTGGAAGGCCCGCACCAAAATGCATCTACGAGCTCAAGGAGAGAGGGTCTGAAGGGCTGTTCTCACTGGTTAGTCTCATCATACCAAAGATGGAGACAATACAGGAGATCCTCCAGCCTTCAAACCAGAGGAAGAATGGACAGAGACTTAGATGACTACCGCCAGCTACAATCATAAAGCTTTAGATACTATTTTCTCTTTAATGCATGAAAGTCAATTTACTATTGTTGCAGGGTGTGATTCGGCTAAAGAAGCTTGGGATGCTTTAGAAACCACCTATGAAGGAACCGCATCGGTTAAACAATCCAAGTTACAAATGGTTCAATCAGATTTTGAAGATCTAACGATGAAAGATGATGAAACTATAGTGGATTTTCATACTCGGGTGCAAGAACTAGCCAACCGGGCAAGCATCTTAGGCGAGCCAATCACTCAAGAAAGACTTGTTAAAAAGATTCTTCGCTTACTCCCTCCAAGGTTTCGCATGAAAGTTACAGCTATTTAGGAGCACGATGGATATGAAAAGAAAACGGTACAATAATTGATGGGAAGCCTACAAACCTATGAGATGGAAATTTTAGGCGGCCCTAAAACAAAAGGAAAAACCGTAGCTTTCTCTGTCGAAGACGCTGGAGCAGTTTCTGATCCAGATGAGGTAAGTGATGATCCAGTAGTTTTCTTAACTAAAGGTTTTTCTAAATTGTTGCAACAGGTAAAACAACGACAAACTGGAAAAGTTGGCAAGTTTCAAAGTCAAAAAGGGTTGGGGTCGAGTGCCATTCGAAACAATAAAAAACCAAACTCGTCCAACCAACGATCAGGCACATCAAGAAACTCTCAATCCAAAGAAAAAACTGGGGGCAAAGAGATCAAATGTTATGAATGTGAAGGATATGGTCATGTGCAAGCTGAATGTCCAACCTACCTAAGATGGAAGAAGTCGATGAAAGTTGCCCTTACCTGGAGTGATGATGATGAACCAGAAACTGATCCAGGATCCGATCTAGATGAGATCTCCGGGAACTTTGTTGCCTTCACGGCCCTC